CTGAACCATTAGGGAAAGCTAAAGGTATGTTGTAATCCTTTGCAAATGAATCATGTGCAGCACGATCATACCCACCCGCTACTTTAGGAGGGGACCGTGGTTGAACAAACACTGTTTTTTTTATAAGATTTATTAGTTGAATGAGCCTCTGCTGAAACTGTGTAGTTATTGTTCAGCCTACTATCATTAGATTTTTGTTGAGAGGAGCGAACTGCATCAGCAAAAGATCTTGAAATTGGAGGGTGATGTTTTGATGCTTCGGAATATGATATACTACTTTGGGCCATGGACACTTTAATTTCTTTTTGACGGGCAAATTCAGGACAGGATTTGCTATTTGCAAAATGGAATCCGGAACATAGGCAACAAGAAGCATAATCTACATGTACTGAGCAAGTTTCAGCAGTATGGTCTTCACCACATTTTAGGCAACGGGGTTTAGATCTACACTGCATTTTGGTATGACCATAACGGCAACAACGGTAACATTGTATTGTAGGATATATATACAGTTCAACAGATAAAGCAGTATAGCACATATAAATGCGCTTTGGTAAAACTTGTCCATCAAAGGTGAAAATTACAGTTTCCGAGTTATTAAATATCGCAGTCCCACTTACAATAGTTTTCCGCTTGATACGTCTAACTTTAATAATTTTACCGCACCCAATAGGCACTGAAACATTTTCAAGAACTTCATCATCTGTTCAATCGGCAGGGACACCACGCACTACTCGCATACGAGTCACATTGAAAGTAGGAATAACAGCTTTAAATTTGTGACTGGCAAGACTGGGGTCATCAACAAAGTTATTCGCATCAGCAACACTAGAGAAAGCCAAACTAAGCCTGTTGCGACCTATTCTTTTCAAACTTCCGTTTACAATGTTTTTAAAAGAGTTCTTTTTTTAAAAGTTTCCAAACTGTACAGGATGGAGCGTAACACGATCATCAGCTGTACTTTGTTCTTTCTGGACATGTACTACGTATGGGGCTAAATCTGTCACTTCATACTTCCTACCACCCTGCGGCCTTGAATTTGAAACAGAATCACCAACATTTGTTACAACATTGTTAGTACTATTATTAGCACCAACAATGCTAGCTTTGGCATCAGCAACAATGGGTAATTTAAATTTCTTGGAACATTCTTCCTCAGATTCAGAACATTGACAATAGTGTAAAGAGACTGGTTTGCCATCTCTTTTCCAACGATTTTTATTACAATGACGGCAGATTTTCCGGGGTTTAACTCTTTTACGGTCAGGCATAGGAATGCTGCCTTCAGTGTCCATTGATGAGTCGTCAATAACAACATTATAGGCTACTGGAGGCCCAGAGCTTGTTTAATAGGTCAATGTATCCATTATTACATTCTGTATAAAGCTTAGACTATGGAAACCAAAGGACATGTTATGTCTCTCTTATGTTGACATAGTATATGTGTAAATCAGACGTAATATAATATGTATATGATGCATTTCGACCTTAGAGGATTTCGACAATGAAAACATAAACATGTTATTGTCTTTGTTTAATTACTGTGTGCCGTCGTAAGCCAAAAGAAATAGCATTACATTGGTCTGTGCCAAACACGGGAATCGAAAATACCTAGCGTCATCTTAAATTAGGAATGGTCGTTACAAATAGTATGTGGCAATATCGAAAATCCGATATCGTATATCTTAGAAACTATATTTCGATATTACTCCGCATCGTATATTTTATAGCGATTCCGAATCAAGCCGAGCGCTGACGAGTGGATACCAATACGAAATCATATATTTTCCAAACTATATGCCGATATTGCTTCGTATCAGATTTTCACTATGTATTCACTGAGTGGATATCAACGCGAAACCGTCTTTTGTGCGTCTACGAAACTGTGTACTAACATTCGCCCGCATTACTCCTGTAGAACTATAACCAATAATATAGTTTCCAAATCTGATCCCGCATATCAGTAACGGCAATGTATCAACGCAGCGCGCACGCGGGCTGTATCCATGAATATATAGTTTCAGAAAATATATAGTTTTGAATTCCGATTTCGAATATTGATATACATATAGTTTCTATACGATATTCAGAAAAAGCTATATTACCCATTTCTATCTTAAATGCCAACTGTGTTCATTTTGCAGTGCCTACATGAGGTACATACATACATGATGCGGTTGTTAAAGGGAAGTACATCAAATGTCAAAACAAATGTTTTTGCAAGTGTTTTAATGAAATATTTGCATTGATAGTAATAAAATGAACAAAAATATTGACAGTGAGAACAATTAGGTATTAATAAAAATGCGTCGCTGCAACATTAAGGGATGGGACATTAACAAAAGCGAAAATCACCGAATATAACATTGCACAGGCATGTTTACCTACTTTTCTGTCTATAAATCACACAATAGCCCAAATATCTCATGCAATTAGACTTATTTAAGTAGTTTCTTCATAAACCTTCCAAATTTTGCTTTGGTTACTTCAGATTACCTACTTTTGATGATTGTTATTAATGATTGTTTTGTGATAGTGTTGTTCTTGTAAGCGTACATATTAACGATATTCTGTTATTAAAACAATTCACTACGAGGTTTTTATTATTTATATTTTTAGTATTTCAAGTTTACCCACAAACTTGGAGCATATAGGACGGGAGACGCTATTAGCGTTATTTCTCGAACAAAACTTTCTGCCACTTTTTGAGGGGCAGAGTAGTACTACAAGCAAACGGGTGCACTCAAATGTAAATTAAATTGTATCACTATGGTCTCACACAAACAAAAGTCTACAACACTAGCTTATTTTTACAAATACACAGATAAAACACACATTCATATCATGTCCGTACACAGAATAGGCCTACGAAAATAAATCGATTCTCATGAATATACTAGAGACGGAAAGTTATCGACGTGACGGTGTCGATATGTATTACGTACTGGTTAATCATGTATATGAAAAATGTAATTCCACCCTTGGCTAGACTGGTGTAGTGATTTTCTTTTTCCAATTTTGTGTGTATTGTTGAACGGTGGTATTGTTTTACTTGTATTTGCCAGAGGAGATTGCCCATTGACTTACTAATAAATGGATGACAATAAATACAATCCAAAGTCTAATCCAAAACACAATTTTGCCATAATTTAAAGGCCCAAAAATTATCCATATTCAGCTTCTACTGGAAAAAACAAAATGCACAATATTTAGCTTCTAGTGAAAACTACTTGAACACAAGAGTGATGGAGTAGTCTTAATGTCAATATTAATTAATTTTATAGTACCTATTATGTTGAAGTTTATATGAATTCACTTCAAGTAATAAGAGTTGTTTAGATATATAGGTACATACAAATACTGTAAATGTGGAATAGCTGTGTCTCTCTGTTGGTAGGTATGATGTACTGTAAGAAATGTATCGATTTTTCGAATTAATTTCTAGATTCCAACTAGACGTAAACTCAAAGTTTCATAATCTCGAAAACCGATTTATAACAAAACCGTCATGCATTCAGGGGATTTTGGTTGCTTATTACAAAGAAAAGATTAAGTTAGTTTGTTTTGTAATATTCCTAAAATAACCTAAAAACGTACATTTGGGATTACAAAAATTCGTCTTGTGTAGGACAAGGACAATTAGCTATTTGGTTATTTTTATTGCTTTTGTAATTTATGTGTATTGTATGTATGTACTCATACATGTAGTTTTATTTTTTTCTTACAGTATGGCATGATTTATGATTATTTATATTAAACAATTACAATTTATTTTCATTATTTATAATTTATTACATACCTACCTAATTTTAAATTTTTATTGAATTGATATTCAATTGTTTTTTGTGAAATGACTTTACAAAGATCGAACACTTAGAAAAAATTTCTTCGATCCGGCCGAATTCGAACCGACGTCTTCTAGCATACCGTGGCAGACGCTATACCAACTAAGCCACGGCATGAACCACGAATTTATCTATGTGCTTGTTGTCGTGTTTTTGTATTTGGTTTTTCAACGCCTTTTTAGTCGTAGCGCCATCTGTGAGAAATCTATGAAAGTTTTATCACATATCAAATTATTATCTAATATACAATACGACGGAGAAATCAATTTGAATAAACTTCGTTACATAACCTGTGGATAAAAATAGGAGCTAAAAGAGCGCGTAGCTTCTCTATAACGAAAAAACAGCGTCCATGAAGTACTGCATTTTATTGTCTATAGTTGCCTGTTAGTAAATAGGGAACTTCATAGGCATGCTTATGTGAAATGTTCGAATATTTTCAAATATTTTTTATGTAATCGATAAAATGAATCAATGTGATCATTGTGAAAAAAATGTCTTAAAACAGAAAATTTGCAATTAATGTAAAAAATAGGCTTATGTATGGAATGTAATTCCACCTTTGGCTAGACTGGATACAGCAGAGATTTTTTTGCAAGTTTATATAGCACATTGTTTCGTGGAGTACTTGACGCGGTGAATTCGATAGTAAAAATAAAAAAAACATTAATTTGAAAGTAGTGTTTATTGTGCGATAGTTGTTTTGTGCTTATACCTTAAAGAAACAAAAAAAAAACAGTTTCAACATTCAAGCCATACATTTGCATGTCGATACCTAATGACTTATCGATAGATTATGGTACAACACTAAAGAAATCCGCCATTTGTAGCGTTCAATTTTTGTTTATATAAACACGTTCATTCTGTAGTTAAGGCAGCTCCTTTCCTTTTTTTCCATCCTCTAATAAATAATAAAGTCTATTTCCAAGGCGTAAATGTCAGTTTTTGAACGATTTTGGAATGTCCCCTGTCTGTCCTGTCTCTATCACTGTGTCACTCATGTCACTGTCATTCTGTGCTTTGCTTTGCTTTGCGATAGTGTGAAAATGTGAAATGAGATATTGAGAAGAGTAATTTTATGTTCCAGAATATCGCAATAAATTGTCTTACTTTGTTTTAAACTAAATGAGCGCCTTATGTGTTTTGTAATTTTCTCTTTTGTTAATTTTCCTGGGCACTGAAAAATGGCACGAAATTTATTATTACAAATCTGTTTATTCTTCGTTTATTCTTGTGTGGAAGCATCTGTTGTTGCCGTAGTTAGTAATTCCGTGACTGTGGACTGTAGTACACTTCGTATGGGCCAGTATATATGCCCAGATCCCAGTATAAACCCCATAGATCCAGATACCCAGCAGTATATAGGTTGCATGAAGGGAAAAGAAATACCCTCGGAAGGAGAAGCTGAAGGTAACACTTCGGTTATTTATGCTCCCTACAACTCCTTTAGATCGTTCATAATATATCCTATAGGCCACAGTCAATGTTGGGACTGCATCAGCTGAATCTATCTTGTTATTCCTGAGTGAAAATAAAGTAAATACTTTGTATTTCAGTGCAATGCATAGCAGCTGATGGCATAATTTGCAATGAAACAAAAAATTCTACATTCAAAAGGAGGCTGCCATGTAAGTGGACGTAAGTATAAAAACATCAATTTTCTATACAGTTTAAGTAGTACCTTTAGTACTTGAGATGTCTTTTTCTTTTACAGAAATGGCTACTCACTAGAAATAGCACTACTGCTATCAGTGTTCTTAGGCATGTTTGGCCTGGACAGATTCTACCTTGGCTACCCTGGAATAGGGTTGGCTAAGTTGTGCACTCTGGGTTTCCTTTTTCTTGGTCAGCTATTGGATATTATACTCATAGCAGCTCAGGTAAGTTTTTAATTTCAATACAATTTTTATGTTACCAAGCCCTGGCATGTTCAAGCTGACAATGATAATATTAGGGGTTAAAGTATGAAATTGCCGTTTTATTGCAATAGGTTCTTTGAATTTTCATAGAATCTTCATGGTTTGAGGTTTTCGAATGAAACTTTTTTCAAATGGTTTCTGTGATTTTTATTTTTTAAATTTGAAACATTTGAATATCGACTTTCAATTGTTTTTGTTATTCAATTTAGACAAGAAAGATGGATACTGCGAAAATTCGAGTGATTTTTGAATACGAGTTCCGACGCGGAACTAACGCGGCAGAAACAGCCCGCAATATCAATGCTGCGTTTGGAGAGGGGTCTACTAATGAACGCACCGTGCGATTTTGGTTTAAACGCTTTCGTGATGGAAATTTCGACTTAAAGAACGAGGCACGAGGAAGACCGCCCACACAGGTGAATAACGATGAATTAAGAGAGATAGTGGAAGCCGATCCTAGTCAAACTACCCAGGAATTAGCGGCATGGTTTAATGTTACCTTACCCACAATATTGACTCACTTGCGTCAAATCAATAAAATAAAAAAATACGAAAAATGGGTGCCTCATGATTTGACTGATCTGCAGAAAGAAACGCGTGTTGAAACTTGTGTTGCCTTGTTGAACCGGTACAGAAATGAAGGAATATTGGATCGAATTGTAACATGTGATGAAAAGTGGATTCTTTATGATAACCGGAAAAGAAAAATGCAATGGCTGACCCCAGGTCAAATGCCACAACAGTGTCCTAAAGCAAAACTTACCAATAAAAAGGTAATGGTAACTGTTTGGTGGTCTCAGCATGGTGTTATTCACTATAGTTTTCTCCGATCTGGTCAAGCAATAACGGCAGATGTCTATTGTGCCGAACTCCGAACCATGTTGACAAAACTAGCAGTAAAACAGCCCCGACTCATGAATCGATCTTCACCATTATTGCTCCACGACAACGCGAGACCTCACACAGCACGAGAAACCATTTTGACCCTTCAGGAACTGCAGTTAGAAACCATTCGTCATCCTCCGTATTCACCAGACCTTGCTCCAACGGACTACCATTTTTTTCGTGATTTGGACAATTATCTACGTGACAAGAAGTTTTCTTCCCAGGAGGCAGTACAAAATGCTTTCACACAGTTTGTGCAGTCTAGATCGTCGGAGTTCTATCGCAAAGGCATTAATAACCTTCCCATTAGATGGCAGCAATGTATAGATAATAATGGCAACTATTTTGATTAAATAAATTTGTTAAAAATTTAAAAAATAAACAATTTAGATTTTCAGTACAAATCGGCAATTTCATACTTTAACCCCTATTATGTGTTTTTGTAACATGATATTATACTACCTTGTAGAAACGGTTGGTAAAATTATTACAAACTTTTCTCAAAATCAATATTGTCCTTTTACAGGTAGTAGGACCATCAGATGGTTCAGCCTACATTATACCATACTTTGGAGCTGGTGTCTCTGTAGTTCGCAGTACCAACGAGACCTACCTGCTTCCACAGGCAGATTGGCATAACATCACCTGACAGTGGGGTACAATCTCCTTCTATGTGGATGAAGATTATGAATGGACTTAATAATGCAATCCAAAGGTGCAAGCGCCATGTCCTTAAAACAAAAATATAAGTTATTTGTGTGAATATTAGTTGTTAGTGATGTGTGACACCAAGGTATCATGAACTTTGCCCTGGCTTGGCTACCCTTAATGAGATATGACTTTATTAAGACTACATATTGTTTAGTATGTTTAACAAGAGACATGATGTGATTTTGTGTTTCAAATAAGAGTGACAGTGTGTAAATACAATCATGAGCATTCTTTAGACAACCAGTCCTGCAACATGCGTCACTGGTAACTTCTAGTGCCGAAATTTCATGTTCCCAGACACAAGCAATATGTTTGCTAATAAGATGAAATGTGAGAAATGTGTCCTATGATGAATATGAAGTTTCAGGATACATTAAAGTTTATTCTGTAGTCAGTTTAGTGTAAACAAAAACATATTTGTAACTAAATAATTTACTACAACTAAGCAACATTTAAGCAATAAAATTTTAAATTCTGTTAACTAGTTGCTATTTTGCTTTCTTTTATAGCTGGCTGAGTTTCCTGTAATGATACATCAGTAGAGGGTGCTGTTAATGTGAAGATCACAGGTATTTTTGACAGTAGTGGGTTTCCATATTTCTCCAGTAGTCTTATCCAGGATAGAAGAGAATCTCTTGATGAGGTACCTACAACAAAGAATCCAGTTAGTAGAATGGTCATATTACAAGCACTGCGTTGGCGGGCTGGTGGTATATTGTGACATTGCAATATAGTGTGGTGTGCCTAAGTGGGGTGTAGTGCTCATGTATTAGAAATAACAGGTAGCAGTAAACACTTTCCTGCACATGTAAATTAAGTATTACCAGTAGCACATATAGAAACTATTGTTCCGTCATCTTGTTCATGTACTGTACACTTAGTTGCTGGTAGTGTACTTTGACCAATTACACCAGGTATGCCTATAGGCTTCTCTATGTTTGATACATCTGTAATAAAATTTACATATTTTAGTTTATAGTGAAGAATTGGGTAATTAATATTCGAGTGGTGTCCTGGAATATCAATTAATATTTCATAATAATACGAAAATAATAAAAGTTGCCACCGACATTAGATAGAGAAAACTGACATGAAAATTACCCATAAGTTGCTAGTTAATATGAACTAGCTAATATGAATTTTCATATTAGCTAGCAGTCAGTCAAGAGTGTTGCAATATTGTAATTACTAAAATGATTATTGTTTCATAGAAATTAATAAGAACTTACCATCTGGATCCTTATTATCTACATGTTCTGGTCTTATTTTTCCAAAGAGAATAAAGTAGTTAACAACTTGATCCCTTAAGTATACGAAGAAAGGTCCTCGAACTGTTAGGGGCTCTTCTAGCGGTTGTTCTGCTAATAAAACCTTTTGTGCATCACTCTGAGCACTGACAACCCAGGTCTTGTCTAATGATGCTTCTATTTCTTCTGTCTGACAGAAAAGTAAATAGTATTATAGTTCTTTTTTATAAAAAGTTATACAGTTAAGTAACTTTTGCTTGTATTTAAATTCTATAATGGCTGTTATATTTTTAAAATCCCTACCGAAAGAATAACAAGTGAACTGTAACAAAGATATTAAAACAAAATGTATTTCCTCAGGATAAGTTATATAGAGGTCTGTGTAGGAAATTGTACACATGGTTAACACAATTTTACAATGAGTGACTAGGAGAAATCAACCGGTCAACTTCAATAAATATATAATATTACCTGCCAAATATCAACTCTAGTTTCTGCATCAACAGATGTAATCCTCTGTATTGCCAAGATAGCTAATTCCAAAGTATCTTTGGGCAGCTCATCAGGCAGGTACCATGGGCTGAGGTTCTTGAACTTTGGCATCCAGTACATCATCCTCCAGAATTTCCTAAGAGGTATACCTCGCCGCCCAAATATGTTTAGTAACATTTGTTCCATTTCTGTATCAGGAATTACATCTGGAAGAAACAAGGTTGTTATTTTGTAATTATAGTACACACAGGAGTTAAACAATTCTGACCCTTATTATAAATGTGATATCAATGCTGGAAAGGCAAAATATCCAACATGCATTTGGAAAATATTACAGGAGAGTGATTTAAAACACGAAGAAAATAAAAATCATAACTCTAATTTTTATTTGTTGTATCATTGTCTATTTAATTTTTCGGGACGAAGATAAAAATGTGGTGTAAAATGTAGTAAACGCGATAATGTTTGTAGTTAGCAATGTAATTAGTTAAATTATACATCTTTCTATACTATATTACGTTAATTATATATATATATATATATAGAAATAGAAACCATTTATTGTAACTTATTGTATTGTATTTATTGTAATTTATTGTAACCAATTATATATGTGCAAGAAGTTTATAAGTTTTTCTACAACAAAAATCAGTAAAAACTAACTATGTCAAAATGCGTGTGCGAGGTTTTAATTTTAAGGCAATGATATGGAAAACTAGAAAGTTTCAGTGTTTCCATGATATGTTATGATTTTTTTCTTCTGTAATGTTTTCCAAATGCAGGTTGGATGGTTTCCAGGGTTGGTATGGTCTTTCATGGAAGTCCATGAAAGACCATACCAATGCTGATTTCCTGGATTGTGTTCTATGTGAATTGAGGTCAGTATTGCAGAGTGGCGTTTAGAAATCTGTAGGATGTAGAATAAAATAATGATTATCTGTACGCACGGTTATCTTCCATTTGCTCTAACAGGTCTACTGTACACTGTTGCTGTTTAGGATAATGCATAAATTCAGCCTGAAAAATATTTTGAGGTATAAACTTCCCCTTTGGTAATATATCCACTAGCGCTTTATATACGTCCAAGTCTTTTTGCACGCCAAACTCTTGCATTCTCGCCAAAGCCGCGTAAATGAACTCTACGTGACCTCTTCTGCGAAAGTCTGTTTTAGCTTCATACATTTTTATAGCTTCTAAATAGGAGCTCTTATTTTTCTTTGGTATCGTCACAAAGGGGTCATACACAGTTACTCGCTTTTCGGAACTTTCCCAACGTTTCAATATAAAGTTGTTCGTCTTACATCTCAAAATACTCCTAATTATTTTTGTAGCCATCTCGAATTTTGTGTATAGGTTATGTTGAGGTTATAATTGTAATACAACACTTAAGTAAAAATAAGAAGTATTATATATAATAAACATATATCTATATTACACTATACTCAATAAATATGTTAATAATTCAATATTATAATTTTTATTTTTTTTAGTTCAAGCATATATTTGATAAACATACGACATAAGTAACGTTTTAAAATGAAATCGAAAATCACTCGTTCATTTCGTTACTCAAAGTTCATTCCACAAAGCACGCATTTAGCCTTTAGCCAATGAAAGTGTTGAGAAAGCGGAATTACAGATTAGAAATGAAATTAAATGAATGACTGAAATGTGAATGAGTGTAATAATACGATATATCGACATCACAGACCAAATCGACATACTACGTTCCTCTGTACGCACTGGCGCCTGTCTTGAAAAGCAAATCTAAAAGAAAACAAAGCCTATATATCACATTACACTTTTATGCCAAGGTTTCACTGTTAACTAGATATTACATACAAAAATGTTTTTAAGACGTTCATAATTATGTATGTAACGATCCAGTTTCGCGGCATTTTATTGTATCTTCCATTCCTTTGCTCATTCATTCTTTTTCTGTATCAGTTGACGTCACGTCAGTATTGTCAGTCAGTAGTCAAGTTAGCAAAGTCAGTTGATATTTGGTTCGAAAGTAGAGTTAACGCCACTTTCATATGAGGTGTCTACGTATTCAAATACGAACTTTATAATTTGTTCTATAATATATAATGAAATTTGTTTACATATTAACTTGTATTGAATTTTGGCAAGTTTTAAAGATATATAATAAATAATTATATATGCATTAGTTTTGTGCGAAGTGCTAAAGGTAACATTTAAAAGACAAAATAAAAGTGTTATTATTTTCTCACGATGTGGAACAAGTACTTATTTGGTGAATTCGTCATTCTACTTCTTGTCTGCTGCACTGGTAAATTAAATTATTTTAATTTGTGCCTTTACATATTTAACAAGACAAACTGCATTATGTACGAAACTGCAAGTGTAGTGAAAATTTATAACGTCACATTTTGTATCGAACTATATAACGTCTAATATATATTTAATACAAATTCTTTCGACGTCATAATAATTTATTGGGTAGTAGTAGTCTATGTCGACTTTTTTATCTAGTTCTGATGTATACCTAAATACTTTTTTAGAAATGTCGCTTTGTTTCACAACTTTTCAATAAAAATCATATTTCATTCGGCTTATTGAAATCATCGAACGTATAAATGATGCCAACGCGTCGAAAAAAGTTACAAATCCCAACGTAACTTTTTTTTTAAATTACATATTTCACGAACTTTACTTCGTTGTTAAAATGAATCGAGCCAGCTTATTCTATTCTTACTGGAAAGGAGTTATACGATTACAAACATCAGGACTACTTTAGTTCTACATGTGGCTGAGTTTTTAAATTTTTATGTTTTAAAAGTATCTACCTAGTAGGTAGATTCAAATAAATAAAAAACACAAATAAACAGGCGTATCTTGTAATATCTCGGAATTTATATGTATACATTTTGTTCAAAGTATTTGATTTTAATAATAAACTATTTATAAATAACATTTAGTCATAATAAACCTTTAAAATTGAGCAGAAATTTAAGAACGCTGCCTGCTGTTATCGTTAACAGTCACACGATGATTAAGTTTTGAATGTTCGTGATCGCAATTTTTTCAAACATTTTGCAAATATTTTTTTTATTATTTATCATTTGGTGGTAAATATAGAGTATCCATTAAACATAGTAAAGGTCTCTAATGTTGACGTCACTAGAGAGTTGTTTTGATGAAGTTTACTGGAGTGTCACGCCTTCAGACCGGCTCACTGCAGGCTGGGTTATTTTTTCACGTTGTTTATAACGCCAAAAGTGACGGTGCTGGGCATCTGTCCAAACGCCTACGAATGTCTCCAATTGCGATGTTCGGGTCTTTAGTTTACATCGATGCATCGTGTTACCGCCTCGTAAACTGCAGTCATTAACCGTCTGGTTTACGACTGATACCTTCATCATCTTCAACCTGACGACGTTCATTGTTGAATATATGCATTGATAGAATATCACTCAACAAGCTTTACCAGAGCTTTTCGTCGGTCATCGATAGCCTATGTATACAACACGTCTTGCATTGCAAGACTGATTTGGGTAATTTTCAGGTTAGTCTCTACCTAATTTCGGCGGCAATTTTTATTATTTAAATACTGTAGAATATTATCATGAAGTATTAATTACTTAATCTTCGCGTGTAGTATTTTGAAATATGATTTAAATTTCACGATAATATCTCACTCGAGTACTGAAATAATAAATATTGCCACCGAAATTAGACAGAGGAAACTAATTTGAGATTATTAATAATAATAATTGAATTATCTATTTATACCTCATTAAAAAGAACGTCACTTCCCATTCATGTTTCTGAATTTATTTCCAGGGTCGTATGTGAAACGCCGTTTGGCAGTCGGCTAGCTTTTGTGTAAAAAAAAATACGCTCAATACTGACTCAACATTTTCATAAACGTCCAAGCAAACAAGTGTACATACTTCCTCTTTTTATTGTTTACAGGACCATTGCCAATTCAGTATGACGTTATGGAAAAACAAAACAATTTGATAAATTAAAGTGTGGCCGCTATTATTTTTAGTTGCATCTGACTAATTGTTATGTATGAATTTTCCTTCTATAAATTCGGTTTTGACAACTTGTTATTATACCCAGATTGATTCAATGGGTCCCTGTTGAATATTGCCGACGAGCTTTTGGCTGCATTTAATTTTAATCAACTTGGTAGTGTATTATTATAAATCTGATTATTTCGTTCATACAAAGCATGAGGGACAGGTCGTGAATTTGAAATTTTAAAGGCCATGCTCATCTTCATTGATGCTTCATGATGGTGATGACGAATAGAGCAATAATTATTATCAACCGAGGTATTCTATTAATTACGCGAGTTATTGTATTAACGATGTCGAGGTTGATACACATAATATTTGTTTGATTGGCCTTGGAACGAATCAGCTCTTTCATACATTTTGATCGAGTCTATATGAAGATTCTTTCGCAGATTGAGATGGGCCCCCAAGCAAAATTTGTTTACTTTGGTGAGCAGAAACAACTCTTTTTCCTGAGTTTTTTTATATGGTACAAAGCGGCTTGAATAGCCGTTTCAGCATATTCGTACTGTCCACGACACTCAGTGGCACTTAATGTTGTTAAAATTAAGTCTCTATTTGTGACTCGTTTCAAACGGGAAAACTTAGCAGGGAAATTGTTGGTACACTAAGTGATTTTCATGTTTTATTTATAGCTAATATACTTTGTTATCTCTTAAAATATTTAAATATTTTTCTGTTTAAATATTTAATGTGCGTACAATAATGCCACACTGATACAAATGTTTTACGTTAAACAAGGTAAATACAAAATGCCGGTCGATGTTTTACAAACTTCTGCATAGATTTTATAATTGCATAGTCGTCGACTAAATGATCGTTGGGATAGAAATAAAGTCACACAAACTGAAACATAATATTTTGAACTTCTAGCCATGGAAATTAATGCAATTTTTAAATCTCAAATTATTCATTCGCTTGGCATAGGATACAGTATGTACCAAACATGTCAATAATTAATCGTCGAAGAATTAGGTCATAGAGTGAAAACTGCTACTTATATAGAATGTTCACAGATTTTAAATTTATATTTCTTAAATAAAAAAATCCTTAAAAAAATCAGAAATGAGGAGATCCGTAGAAGAACGAAAGTCGCCGACATAGCTCAAAGGATTAGCAAGTTGCAGTGGCAGGGGGCAGGGCACATAGCTCGTAGAACTGAGACCACGAACCTGAAGGCGTTCAGTGGGATGGCCCTCTACTAGATGGACGGATGACCGGGTAAGGGCGGCGGGTAACCGATAGATGCACGTCGCCTCCGATCGGCTAGTATGGCTGGAAATTTTGGGATATTCAACAGTGGACGTGTTCCGGCTGATATGATGATTTCCTAAAATGGTTAGTTAAACTCTGATTTCCTCAAGCAAATTATTATAATTTATTTCAGTTATATTAACTAAAAGTAGTCATGTGTGATTGTATTCATAACTTATTACAATTACGTGTGCTGGTGCAACGTTCTTAAACATTTTTGATTTTCATTTGATAAAAATTTATAAATATATACTCGGAACATCTCGGTAACATTTACAAATGAAGCTCCTTAAAGTATAATTTGCAGCTGTCTGTTCTCTTGTAATTTCGGATAGCTTCCTCGCCTTTTTTCCTCAGAATTAACAACGTGGAAAATCGTTCTATGGGTCATTCTTAAAATAGGTGTCAGAAAAAAAAAATAATAATATTTTTTTAAATTTCGTTTCGTTAGTTTCGTTAAGCTTAAAGACCTTCAGAATCAAAATCATGGTTGTGACATTACAGACATGGGAGTGACGTGTATGTGTGTTCAAACATTTCTAAAAGATGTTTGTAATAAATAAAAGTTGTTTTTATTTTCATATTGGCTACTGGGTCCATCACTCGCAATACGCAGAACAGTAACATTCTGGTTGGTAATTAAATGAGCCAATGCTTTTTTAAGTGAGCGTAAATTACACACGTCAGATAGGTAGTGAGGAACGTCTTTTAAGCTGTCTAGTCTGCTGTGGAATGGTTCTGTTCACCAAAAAACCTTTTGGCACGCCTTTCTAGTGAATCCAGAGTCGACACTTAGCAGAACCATTCCATAGGTGGCATCAGTACTCCATACGAGACCGAACTTGTGCTTCGTTCAGTTGAAGCAACTGTCCCAGGGTAAAGTCCCTATCTACCGAGCCGAGACATAGGGTATTCCGGAGAGACTACGGGCTCCCAATCCCAAGATCAGGGTTCAGGGTGCAGCGGGCGTCCGGGCCGAGACCTCCGATAGAGATACGCCTTCACGGGCGTCTATGGTGGACCCAGACTTGGGTATGGACTCGCTGGGGTTTGTGGTAAGCTGCAGAGACGGACATGTTCGTCTTCCCCGGTGGTGTGTGGCCGGGGCGTCTGTCTCCTGCGCAGCTAGCGCGTCTTAGTAGCGGTCTAGATGAGGACGTAAGTGAAGGAGACGCGCGGGGCACATGAGTTGCCCTATAAGTCGGAAGCATGTTCAAACATGGTCGCAGGACACTACGACCCGCATCTCCGGCACTAGCCCGGAGAGCTAGCTAGTAGAGGATGAGCTAGACATCCTCCGGTCCCTCCAGCTGCTTAAGTTGTTGGGAACTGGAGAGACACCGTTTTTCGCCGTCATGAAGTACCATACAAGAAGTGAGAAGTGAGAGTACCATACAGCTCCGCCACCAATGAGAAGATTTGGTAGTGGACCTTAGAGTCGACGGCTTAGGTGGCAACCGTTAGTTGTGCAATGCGCGACGGGAAGTGAGCGTGCCTACAGCTTCGGTGCCTATCTGGAAAACGGAGGGTACTGTACGCGCACCAGGGGCTGCTGACACGAGGCACTAGCCTCTGGAGACCCGGATGAAGTCCCCTGTACACTAGCTGATCTGGAGTCAGAACCTGAACTTAGAAGGTTCCTGTGCATGCACAGGTTATAGTGCCCTTCTCGTATACCCTAGGGTCGGTAGGGAGGGTCCCTATAATCAAAGTTAATGGAGAAAGATATGGGGCTGTCCCAGTGTGAAGTACCGTCTCGCCTTTGAAAGGATGCCAAGCTTCATGGCTGCATTTTTGGCCATGGATGCAATGCCGAAGATTTTAAACTTAGTATTTATATTGCAAGGCACCATACGCAATAGTAAGGTTCCTGCCTCAAAGTATAGACTTTTATGCCTATAAAATTGTAATTAGAAGGCACTTGCACTGGATAAATGTCATGACCGTGGAAGATTGTCACAACCGTGATGTTTACGAAAACGCGGCTGTG